TGTTTTACAACTGGAGAAAACACTTCATTGTAATCAATTCCCTCATTTTGAGCATATCCTTTGGCCGCCAATCTTGCTTTGTAGCGAACATCTACTTGGTTAGGAAATCCTTCTTTCTTTGCAAATAACCATTTGCACCCAATTGCTTTCTTTCCCTTCGGGAGATTGGCCAATCTCCATGTATGATTCTGATGAAGGGACTGTATTTCATCATTCATGGCAATCCTTCACTTATCTTCTTCTGAACTTTGGACAGTGTCTTTATAAGTGGTAGGAACATCATCAGCTACAATTGAGGTTGCACAAGCAATCGTCTCTATGAGACGAATAGGATTCGTTATTGTTCTTTTTGGCCTGCTGGTTGCTAATGATTCAAGTTGTTGTTGAGGTTCCTGAGTTGGAATCTCCTTTACTGGCTCTCCTTCCAGAGGGTAATCTTCATTTGTTTCCTCCTCTGCTTTTTGTGTAGGNAGCATACTTAGACAGTACCTTGGCTCTGATACCAATTGTTGCGGAAGCCAAATGTATATAGTGTGAATAAGTCACAACTACTATACCAAAAATTATGACAGCCACCAAATAATAAATAAGACAATAAAACAACAATAAAGGGAACACCAGAATTTACGAGGTTCGGCTAATTTTGCCTACTCCTTGGACACAACCAATATTTTATTCCACTCCAAAAATACAAGTGAAATAATACTAAAGAGAGAAGATACAAATGCCTTAAACAGATGAGAAGACAAATGAGAGGTCTATTTAAATCCTAAACATTAGGCCTTCTTTTATAAAGGGAAAATCCCCCAAACTCAAGAGCCCACCGATGTGGGACAAAGAATTTGTCAAACTTCAACACATAAGACATAATCCAAATTAATTGCGTACGAAGAAGTTGAGGGTAGCAAAAGGTATAGCCTTGTTCAACCCTCTATATAAACTAGAACATTTTCAGCTCTTTTATTCACAACAAGCTGCTCTCTAAAGAAATAATTAAAAGAGAGAAAAAAGAAAGAATTAGAGAGCAAATTAAGATGGAAGTAATGCAGGTACTTCACATGAACAATGGAGAAGGAGAGACTAGCTATGCCAAAAACTCCAATATCCAGGTTTTATATCTTCATCAAATGATTAAAACAGTTGAAATGTATTTACTTTCCTGATATATACTTCCCTTAATTTAGTTCATATATCAATTATATTTTCCGGTGAAAAAGATTTTTCTTATATTATTATATTGGTTTCCTTGGGCGACACAATATTTGTTTGTCTAACTATATCTATCAAGGTGGCCACATGAAGATTTATCAAAGGTGTTTGTGGATCGAATCAATAGAACTAATAATAAAATAAAGAGGTATCAAAGAAAATATTTAAAAAAACTTAAGAAAGTTAATTAAATATTATCTTAGGAAAGAAGACCTTTTTCTCAAGAGTGAAAGAAAAAGCTACCAACTTGGCCTACTTTCTAAGCTATATGGAGTAATATATTACTATCTTTTATCTCTAATCTCTAAAGTTGGATAATTGGCTTGAGAGGTGAATTTTTTTGCTTTTCCCCTGTGTCCGTTATTCATATTGGGACCCGATTACTCTACCTCAACCATTGTTGGTCCTGATTTGATTATTTAAGGAAGCTGATCCAGTTGAAAACTCTTCTTTTAAGCGGTTCTTAAAATCTAATCAAATTCTAGTACTCATCCCAAAAAATTTCATTTAAATATTAGACCAGTGTTATTGAAATTTGGTTTAATGAATTTGTAGAGGAAAATAATATCAGCAACAAATTCAAGGCTTAAAGAAGCAGTGATAAGCATCTTGTGCAAGAACAAAAAAATTCCAGAAAGCATTGGCATTGCTGATTTAGGTTGTTCCTCGGGGCCGAACACTTTGATGGTCGTCACAGAAGTTATAAATATCATGGACGCAACGTGTCGAAAATCGGGCAGCTCATTGCCGGAGTTGAGAATTTCTCTGAATGATCTTCCGGGGAATGATTTCAATGATCTATTTAGGTCTTTGCCAGAATTCTATCGCAAAGTAAAGGAAGAGAAAGGTTCAGAAAATTGCTATGTTGCTGGGGTGCCTGGTTCATTTTATGGAAGGCTTTTTCCACTAAAAAGCATGCACTTTTTTCACTCTTCCTCTAGTCTCCATTGGCTCTCTCAGGTCAGTACAGTGAATTTTCACGTACTCTATTTCAGTTTATGTGTATTATTATTCGAGTTGTTAAGTAGATTTTTCTTTAACTATGTTTTTCTTAAATATTTTATATTTATTAGAAAGTTTTAAGAAAGTTAGCTCTTTATTTAATTTGTTTATCTCGTCCGCCTTTCTTTCTTTTCTTCATTTTACATGGTACAAAAGAAGAAAAAAAATTGATCTTGTACCCAAAGTGCGGTACACTTACACTCACACCAATCCAAACTCCCTATCATCATTAAAAAACTGTTACCCCATTTGTTTGATTTGTCGGTCCCTGTCAGACATACTGAACAACCTGGCAAAGGTTATTAGCTTACGTAACCAACTTCTCATACCAAGGCAAGATCCAACCTCATAAACTGGAATGGAAGGGTATCTCTTTTAAAATCACACTGAGTTTGTTGTTGTAGTACTGAAATTTACACTATATGTCACCAAAAAAGCAAAATTAACAAAAAGAAAGTAATAGAGATCTACTCTACCTACTAGTAGGTAGATGACCATTCTTGTCATGAGATGTTTAATATTTGTCCTTTTTCAATGACTTTACGGTATGAGTATTCTGTCATTAATTTATTATGTACCTTTTTTTGTCATAAGAATATAGTTCAATCGAATTCAATAACACATGTCAAGCTCATTTTTTCAAATGTAAAAATAATGAAACAGGTTCCACTTGGTTTGGGTACTGAAGCAAGGACAGCCCTAAACAAAGGGAAATTATACATATCAAATACAAGTCCAAGTGAAGTAATCACTAAATACATGTCACAGTTTCAAAATGACTTCTCCTTATTTCTTCAATCACGTTCGCCGGAGATGGTTCCCGGCGGGCGGATGTTGTTGTCGTTAATGGGGAGGAGCTCTATTGATCCCACGGCGGAAGACGGTTGCTACTACCAATGGGAGCTCCTTGCCCATGCACTCTCTATTTTGGTCTCTAAGGTTACTTGCTTAAACTTATCTTTTCATCTTTTTGTATTTGGATGCTAATTTATAACAACAACAACATACCCGGTGAAATACTTATTTCTGTTTTTTTTTTTAAAAAAGAAGTCAAAATTCGATATGATCAGTTTTTTTCGATTTTTCCTAGAGTTAAAACCAGTGTCGCATATTTACTACTCATATTGTCCAGGATACACCTACAACTTTTAACTAAGATAGTACGTTGAAAGGTGTCTTTTAAATAAATAAAAAAGCACAGTCGAGGCCGTTAGTTATTGGTAAATTCTGATTTTGGTTCTTATGACATATAATGAAGTAAACCTTATTAAAATGTGTTTTTATTCCATTTATGTTAAAGAAGTTGTATTTAGACTTTTTTAGAAATGTATTACCCTCAAATTTGGAGTTATTATAAAAATAGCCCTAACAAATGCTGTAACAATTATTAATTCATTAAATTTATGAAAAATCAAAATAGAGAGTTTGATATTTCATATTTTAACTAATTGAAAATTAAATATGCTTACTTAGATATTATAAGGACTAGAATAAGAATTTGTCTATATTTGAGGGAGTAAAAGAGCAAATTTCCCAAAAATTACTCATTATAAGTCGTATATCCAATTTTATGGCACACATACTTATAATTTTATATTTAGGAGTCTATACTAGTACTATCGCCATTTTTGTATTGTTAGATTTGGGACCATATTTATTAATAACTATTTATTCATACCACCTTTTTGAGTGAAGCTTACCCTCACACAAAATTTCTCTTCCCTAAACATAGTAATTCATCTATGCAGGGGTTAGTAGAAGAGGAGAAAGTAGACTCCTTTAATGCACCATACTATGCACCATGCCCTGAGGAAGTGACAATCGCAGTAGAAAAAGAAGGTTCATTTGTGATTAATCGTCTCGAGGCTTTTGAGGTTGAGTGGGACGCCAGTATTTCTTTAAATTCTACACTATGCGATAGCGATGACAAAAATGGCCAATTGTGTATGAAATCAGCATCAAGTGGCCAGCAAGTTGCTAAAACAATTAGGGCTGTGGTTGAATCAATGGTGGGGTCTCATTTTGGAAATGAAATTATGGATGACTTGTTTAAAGTGTATAGTGATCTTGTGGATGATTACATTTACAAGAATAGAGCCGTTTACATCAATTTAGTTGTTTCTCTTACACGCAAAGGATAATGTTCTAGACATCTAGTAGCAAAACAAAATGATCAATATGTAAACTCCACATGTCAATAAGGGGTTGGATCATTTTCTTTTTTTTCTTTCTTTCACGAATGTCAATTGAAACAAAATGTATCAAGTAGTACATTATTGTAACACAATAAAAATTCATCCTTGTTCGATATTTACACAAAACTAATAAATATTTATATTTGTAAGCACGTAATTTTTGACCCCTCATGTTTCCAAGACACTCCAGTATTTTATACATATCTACTTGAGTTTATATTAATTTTTCTAGGATTTTAATATATATAGTATTTTATTTTGTTGTTTAATATTTTTAAAAATAAAAAAATATAAAAATAGTTTCACTTTTGATAACTAATTTTATTAGTAGTTTATCCTAGTTAATTAAGAGTGATTTTGTATTTTTATAAATGAACTTTATATTATATTAGAAGGGAAAAATTAGTATTTTTGGGCTAATTAATGTTCAGATTTTATGATGAATCGCCCCAAAGAGAGGCCCAATTTCGGAATTTTTAGCCCAACACTATTTAATCCATCAGCAATTACCCAATCACATTTAATCCAACACCTTTGACCCGACGCCTAGCACCTAACCCGCGACCCGCCCCATTTTCAATTGCAAAATCTTGGCATCCATCCACTTAGATCCAACGTCCCCTGTTATTTGCCCATACCAAATATAATAATCCTCATTATAATTTTTTAAAACGCAACCTTAAAAATTCCTAAGAGCAGCTGCAGCCCACCCCTTCCTCTCTTACCCTTTGCCGCCGCCTCCGATTTCTCACCGTGAACACTAGTAGAACGAAAGACCTCCCAAAGGCGTTCTGAAAGGAAAGTGAGATAAGGAGTTTTAAGAAAAATCCAAGAAGAACTCTAGGTCTTATTTTTTCCCTTCTGGAATTCCAAGGCAAAATACCAAAACAGAAAAGATTTTGATTCTTGTTCTAGTTTTCTTCCTGAAGATACAAAAAGTAATAAAAAGATTTTTCTAATTTTGATTTAGTTTCTTATTTGGATCCAAAAGAAAAATTACCAAAATATACTGGTTTCTTACTGCCATTGATTTCGAAAAAGAAGCTAAGAATCATTCAAATAGAGTTGAGTTGAAATGTTTCGGGTCTGTTCAGATTTTCTGATATGAGCGTTGAGCTCAGATTTGTTTGCGGCTTCGTCAAGGTTGTCGTGTCCCAGGTTTCTGGTCCTAAACATTTTCTGATTCAAAGAGCTTTCGCTTCTGAGGTGATCGAGTATTCCGATCTAAGCGGAGAGGGTCGGTTTATCGTCGGCGTGAGGTTTTGTTCGAGGCTTTGTCGTGTTCGTGTCCCCGTTGGTATCTTTGGTCGCTGCTCAATTTTTTCGGCCGGATTCTCGTTGCTTTTCAACTAAACAGAACTGTAAACTCAGAGTTCTATTAATCGGAAAGAAATCCGCTCACTAAGGTCCATTTCTTATATCTGTTTTATTTCATCTCATTATATTAGTTGATGAATTGTGTTAATTGTTTGTGGTTCTTATATCCTTTGTTTAGTTAATTTAGTTTGCTTGATCAGTTCATTACCTTGAGTTCATGATAAACTTGGAAGAATACTTTAACTCATTAGGTGGACAACTGAAACGAAAAATAGATATTATTCATTGTTGAATTCAATGGGTCGTTGGGGTAATAATTTTGAATTAACTGAAATAAACCAAATTAATTGAAAGACAAAGAATAATAAATGGTCTTGTGTTGTTGTTTCACTGCCTTTAAATTCATTTTATTTCCTTAAGTATCGCTAGTAGCATATTTAAGTCGATCACATCTGGGTAAGCAAATATTAGGTTTTTTATTTAGTTTTCTTTTTTGAAGTTAGAGGTTGACCCTTAGTTTGTTGTTTTATTTAGGGAATGCCCCGAGAAAGCATAGGATAGAACATTAGTACTTTTATTTTTATTTCTTCTTTTGTTTTTCTTTTATTTAGGTAGGGACAACCTCGAACCTTTTTGTATTTGTTTTCTTTGTATGTTTTACTTCAATTAAAATATTCTTAAAAGCCAATTTGATCAAGTATGTAACCGTACTATTTACGGGATTAGGGAATGCTTAATACCTTCTCCCCGAATCAAATGAATCCCCTTACTTTGAATCTCTGGTGCAAACTAGTTTTGGAGTCTAAAGGTGTTTTAAAAGGAAAAAATCATTCTTTAAAAAAATGGTGACTTGACACACCGAAACCAAATATCAAGTGGCGACTTTGAAAATCCTTTGAAATACAATACTTTGTCACTTTATCTTTTTCTAAGAGGGTTAAGAGTGAAAAAAAGGGTGTGATAGCTTTGGCGACTCTGCTGGGAGTTGCAGGTTCGAGCTGATACTTGATCTTGTTGGCTTTTTCGGATATTCAGTTGCGGTTTTATGTTCTTTATTTGCGTTGTTTGATTTTTATTTTGTTTATTTTATTTTATTATTTGCTAGTTGTTTATGTGTTTACAGTTTTCCTTTATGTGTTACTGCTTTATAATTGTCATCATATGCATTACCTGGTCAATTGTTTCTGCAACAAGTTTCGTAGTATGCATCACGTACACAAACTCTTTGTTGAGTCACCCTTATTTTGGGAGGGGGGAAGGGGGCGTAGGATGTATGAAGTGGGTGGAATGCTTGAGCAGCCACCATCGACCATATGCTCCCCCGAATTGCCTTGTTATTGAACCCCAAACATAGGTCAGCCTTTAGGTCACGACTATGTGCATCATATTATTATCACCTAGCATGGCCCGTTCCTAGGTACTGTGTTCCTTTGTAGGAAGACTGTCCAAATTGTGTCGAATGGGCCCACGGTCCAAAAGGACATTCAATCATCCTATGTGCTAAATGTTGCATCTTTGAAGGTAGAAAGATCATTTGGCGGACTGATGTTTGGGAAAAAAGGGTGAAAAAATGAAGTAAGAGAGAATATTGAGGGCTTTATCACTTTTAATTTTCTTGTCCAATTTTCTAAATATATTAAAAAATGATTTTACACTTTCTTACCTTTTTTCAACAACAACAATGACCCAGTATAATCTCACAAGTGGGGTCTAGGGAGAGTAATGTGTACGCAGACCTTACCTTTACCCCGAAGGGTAGAGAGACTGTTTCCAATAGACCTTTGATTTAAGAAGACAAAAAGATGAAAAGAGAAAATATATCAGTACCATCAATAAAAACCATGGAAATAATAAAGACATCACAAAAACTAGTTAATAAATAAAAAACAGAAATATTAACCAGTAAATAACGAAAGAGTAGTAAAAATACATCACTGACCACTAGCAGTCTAAGACTAATTCCTATCAGCCTAGCCTCACACTGGTAGACTAAATGAAACTCAACTACCTCCTAACCTACAACCTTAATGCTCGACCTCCACAGCTTCCTATCGAGTGCCATGTCCTCGGAGATCTGAAGTCTCGCCATATCCCGCCTAATCACCTCTCTCCAATACTTCTTAGGCTGCACTCTACCTCTTCTCGTACTCACCAATGCCAACCGTTCATACCTCTTTACCAGTGCATCCAAGCTCCTCCTCTGAACGTGCCCGGACCATCTGAGCCTCGCTTCCCCCATCTTGTCATCAATAGGAGCCATGCCCACCATCTCCCGAATAACTTCACTCCTAGTCTTATCCATCCTAGTGTGCCCGCACATCAACATCAACATCCTCATTTCTGCTACTCTCATCTTCTGGGTATATGAGTTTTTAATTGGCCAACACTCAGTCTCATACATCATGGCCGACCTAACCACCGTTTTATCAAACTTACCTTTGAGTAGCGAAGACACTTTCTTGTCACACAGGACTCCAGATGCTAACCTCCATTACATCCATCCCAATCCAATACGATGTGTGACATCCTCGTCGATCTCCTCATCCCCTAGATAGTTGACCCAAGGTACTTGAAACTGCCTCTCTTAGGAAAGACCTGCGATCCAAGCCTGGCGTCCATGCCTGCTTCCTTTGGCTCGGTACTGAACTTGCACTCAAGATACTCCATCTTCGTCCTGCTCAACTTGAAACCCTTAGACTCAAGGATCTGTCTCCAAACCTCTAGTCTCTCGTTAACACCACTCCGTGTTTCATCAATCAGAACAATGTCATCAGCGAATAACATACACTATGGCACTTCTCCTTGAACGTGGTGTGTCAGTGTGTCCATCACCAGAGCAAATAAGAAAGGGCTGAGCGGAGATCCTTGGTGTAACCCCATAATAACCGAAAAATGCTCAGAGTCGCCTCCCACTGTCCTAACCCGAGTCTTAGCTCCATCATACATGTCCTTAGTCGCCCTAATATAAGAAACCGACACACTTTTAGCCTCTAAGAATCTCCAAAGAAACTCCCTAGGAACCTTGTCATATGCTTTCTCCAGATCAAAAAACACCATGTGCAAATCCTTCTCCCTATCTCTATACTGTTCCACCAACCTCCTAATAAGGTGGTTAGTTTCCATAGTAGAACGACCCAACATGAACCCGAACTGGTTATCTGTTACAGACACCGTCCTCCTCACCCTCGCTTTTACTACTCTTTCCCAAAATTTCATGGTATGACTCAATAATTTGATACCCTTATAGTTTTTGCTACTCTGGATGTAACCTTTGTTCTTGTACAACAAAACCATCGTACTCCACCTCCACTAGTCCAACATATTCTTCGTCCTAAAAATAAATTAAACAACCTAGTCAACCACTCCAAGCCTAACCACCGTTCTATAAAACTTACCTTTGAGTAGCGAAGACACTTTCTTGTCACACAGGACTCCAGATGCTAACCTCCATTACATCCATCCCAATTCAATACGATGTGTGACATCCTCGTCGATCTCCCCATCCCCTAGATAGTTGACCCAAGGTACTTGAAACTGCCTCTCTTAGGAAAGACCTGCGATCCAAGCCTGGCGTCCATGCCTGCTTCCTTTGGCTCGGTACTGAACTTGCACTCAAGATACTCCATCTTCGTCCTGCTCAACTTGAAACCCTTAGACTCAAGGATCTGTCTCCAAACCTCTAGTCTCTCGTTAACACCACTCCGTGTTTCATCAATCAGAACAATGT